TCAGAGACATACAAGGAGGAACTGAATTGTCCAGCATCAGGGTCAGAGCTGGGGGAGACAGCTTTCTCACAAACAGAAGTGCTAGCATAGGCTATTTTTCCTTTTCTGCCCCTGCCCCACAGAGTTACAAATCCAGCAGGTGGGCAGCATATTTGAGATTCCATCAACCTGGCTCATACCAGCTGCCCCACCCTAGTGATTCTCTGAGGCCCTGACCCACCCAACTTTTGGGCACATCCAACCTGTTTCCAGTGGCTTTTCCATATGAATGACTTGTCTTGGCCCACGCTTCAGATTCTTCCAAATTCTCTCAAACAAGCAGCATCTAGCTTTAGCAAGCCCTGTACCTCTCACTAACTTGCCTCAGACCCAGCACTAGCAGCAGCCAGCCTTGTTTCACAGCGTGGCCTCCTGTGGGCACCTCCAAGCCCAGCACAAGTAGCAGCCATCTGCATATCACTTTGTAGCTTTGCTGTGTGACCCCAGGAAGAACACAGTCAGTATCTTACACTGGATGTGTCAATAGCAATCAAGGCTCAACTACAACAGGAGGGTGTAAACAGCCTCCATGGTGGGTGAACCTTGAGTGCCCTGCGGAGGCTGTGCCACTGGACCCTAGAGGACACCTACTACATTAGGCCACTCTACCAAGCCTGGAAGACATCGCAGTTCCACCTAATACATAGGAAAAAAAAAAAAAACACAGGGAAGCTGCCAAAATGAGGAGACAAAGAAATATGGCCCAAATGAAGAAAACAGATCAAAACTCCAGAAAAAGAACAAAACAAAATAAAGACAAGCAATCTATCTGATGCAGAGTTCAAAACACTGGTAATCAGGATGCTCACAGAACTGATTGAACTCAGTTGCAAAATGAAGGCTACCCAAAGTGAAATAAAGCAAAATATATAGGGAACCAACAGTGAAGAGAAGGAAACCAGGACTCAAATCAACAGTTTAGAGCAGAAGGAGGAAATAAACATTCAACCAGAACAGAATGAAGAAACAAGAATTCAAAAAAAAAAAATGAGGAGAGTCTTAGGAATATATGGGACAACTTTAAGCACTCTAACATCCAAATCACAGAAGTGCCAGAAGGAGAAGGAGAAGAAGAGCAAGAAATTGAAAACTTATTTGAAAAATAATGAAGAAAAACATCCCCAATCTGGCAAAGGAAATAGACTTCCAAGAAGCCCAAAGAATCCCAAAGAAATTGGACCCAAGGAGGAACACACCAAAGCACATCATCATCAAGTTACCCAAGGTTAAAGATAAGATGAGAATCTTAAAAGCAGCAAGAGAAAAGGAGACAGATACCTACAAAGGAGTGCCCATAGGCTATCAGCTGATTTCTCAAAAGAAACCTTAGAGGCAAGAAGGGACTGGAATGATCTGAAGTCATGAAAGGCAAGGACCTACATCCAAGATTACTCTATTCAGCAAAGCTATCGTTTAGAATGGAAGGGCAGATACAGTGCTTCCCAGATAGGGTCAAGTTAAAGGAGTTCATCCTCACCAAGCCTTTATTATATGAAATGTTAGAGGGACTTATCTAAGAAATAGAAGATGATCACAAACTATGAACAGTAAAATGACAACTCATAACTATCAGCAACTGAAACTAAAAAAAGACAAAAACAAAAACTAAGCAAAGACCTAGAACACGAAGAGAACCAGAGAAATGGAGATCACATGGAGGGTTTTTAGTGGGGAGGGGGAGAGGAAGGATGAGGAGGGAAAGGTACAAGGAATAAGAAACATAATTGGTAGGCATAAAATAGATGGGGAGAAATTAAGAACAGTGTAAGAAATGAAGCCAAAGAATGTATATGTACAACCCATGCACATGAACTAATGGGCGGAGAATGCTGGAGGATGGGGGGCGGGGTGCAGCGCAGAATGAGAATAAAGGGGAGAAAAAAATTGGGAAAACTATATCAGCATAATCAATAAAATATACTTAAAATATTTTTTAAAAGAACAATTTATAGGGAATCAACAGTAGAGTGGATGAAGATAAGAATCAAATCAGTGATTTGGACTACAAGGAAGTAAAAAAACAACCAATCAGAACAGCAAGAAAATAGAATCCCCAAAAATGAGGATAGTGTAAGGAGACTCTGGTACAACTTCAAGCAAGCCAACATTCACATCATGGGTGCATTGGAAAGAGAAAAAAGAGAGTAAGAAATTGAAATGTTATTTGGGGGGAAAAAAAGACAGAAAACTTCCCTAACTTGGTGAAAAAAATAAACATGCAAGTCCAGGAAGCACAGAAAGTCCCAAACAAGATGGTTGCAAAGAGGCCCACTCCAAGATACACCATAATTAGAATACCAAAAGTTAAAGATAAAGAGAGAATCTTAAAAGCAGAAAGAGAAAATAAGTTAATTGCCTACCAAGGAACTCCTATAAGACTGAGCTGATTTCTCAAAAGAAACTCTGCAGGCCAAAATGGATTGGCAAGAAATGTTCAAAGTGATAAAAAGCAAGTACCTACAACCACATTATTCTATCCAGCAAAACTATCATTTGGAATTGAAGGACAAATAAAGAGCTTCCCAAACAAGAAAAAGCTAAAGAAGCTCATCATCACTAACCAGTATTATATGAAATATCAGAGTCTTCAAGAAAATTGAAAATATGAACAATAAATTGGCAATAAATACATATCTCCCAACAATTGAATCTAAAAAACAAAATAAACAAATAAGCAGAACAGAAACAGGAGCATAGATACAGAGAACTGTTTTGATGGTTGCCAGAGGGGAGTAGGGGTGGGTGGGAAAAAGGTGACGGGATTAAGAAACACACATTGGTAGTTACAGAATAGTCATGGGGATGTAAACTACAGCATAGGGAATAGACAAAAAAGATATAAGCATGACCCATGGACATGGACAATGGCATGAGGACTGCCTGAGGGAGTGAGGGGGCTGGGTAGAGGGGAACAAAGGGGAAAAAACTGGGACAACTGTAATAGCATAAATAAAATATAACTTTAAAAACTTTCCTTTTTGAGGGCACTTCAGAGATTCTATATGAGAGAGAACCCACAGAAAGTAAGAACTTCAGCAAACAATTGACTCTAAGCTCTAAAGGGAAAGCCTGCAAGAGAAAAGTTAATAGATAGCCTTGATCCAATACACATGAGAGGGGAAACTGAAGGTGCTCAGTAAGCACTTGTTAGTGGAGTAACTCAAGTGAATGCTTAAAAAATTTCTTACGGCCCTGGCTGGCGTAGCTCAGTGGATTGAGCGTGGGCTGCAAACCAGGTATCATAGGTTTGATCCCCAGTCAGGGCACATGCCTAGGTGGCAAGCCACGATCCCCAGCAACTGCACATTGATGTCTCTCTCTCTCTCTCTCTCTCCCCTTCCCTCCCTATAAATAAATAAAATCTTTTAAAAATTAAAAAAAAATCTTTTATGGAGTTCAAATATTTTGTTACCCCAGCTGTCCAGGTAGATGGAAAAAGCTGCTTAACATCCTCCCTCTCAAGCTCTCTATGGGAATTAAACTGTTCTCAATGTTCCAAAAACTGATAAAAATTCCAGCAGTCTTAGTTTCAGTTTGATTCCATGTTCTCCTCCTGTCATTCCCCTCGTTAAAAAATAGCTGAGGTTCTTATGATCAATATGGGGTTCCAGAGTCCACTTAATAGTGGACAGAACTCTGAGTCTGGGATGTTCTCAGCACTTTTGCTACTTAGACCAGGGCAGAGAAGGGGTTGAAGTTTTGAGGGCTAGCGTGGGTCAATGATGCAGTGCTCAGAACCAACCTTGGAACCACTGTAAGACTGTTACCTAAATTAAAAAAGCACCCTCTGCCCTGGCTGGTGTGGCTCACTGGATTGAGTGCCAGCCTGAAAACCAAAAGGTCACCTGTTTCATTCTGTCAGGGTACAAGCCTAGGTTGTGGGCCAAGTCCCCAGTTGGTGGTAAAGAGGCAACCAACTGATGTTTCTCTCCCTCTCCTTCTCCCTCCCTTCTCTCTCTGAAAATAAATAAAATGTTTAAAAAATAAAAAGCAACTCCTAGTTTGTCCTAGAAATTATCTGGGTATGGAGGAGATATTTGTGAGAAATTTAATACTAATATTAGAGACTGAACCTATGGTTTTGTCTGATTTCATGTTTAAAACAAGCCCCAACAGATTTTGCTTTTAGGTTTGTTTTTTTGTTTTGTTTTGTTTTTTGTTTTGTTTTTTAAGTAATCTGCTCTTATCCTTATAATAAGGCTGTGTAAGTTCCTTTTTCCACCTCCGGTATATCCACCCCAAATTCCAAGCAAACAGTTGAGACATTGTGCAGCTGGCTATTGGCTAAACTAGGACATACCCACTGGAGGGTTCTTGCTCCCCAGCTGAGGTGTCCTACTCCTGCTTTCCTACCCGAGCTTCTTCTCAACTGTCATCCCTTAGCTTAGGAAGTGTAGCCAACTTCCTTTATACATCAATATGGGTGTAGAACTTGCTGTATGTCCCAGTTTTTGAGGCATAAACCACAGGTTTCACAGGATTAGTTACCAAACCATTCCTTGAAATCTATTGTACTCACATGAGGAATGAAAAGCAACTCCTACTCTCTGCCTAGCCCACGGATCAACTGAAACACATCTTGTGCACATGGGGCAGTGGTGCAAAAAACAAAGAACAAGAACAGAGTAATAAGGCCATGAAGTAAGGCTGCCTCGTCCACTTGAATAACTAATCTCCCCAGGATATGTTCTCTGACTAGCAATGAGTCTTTCCTTAATATCACTGACAGTCTTCTTTTTTATTTCCTTTATTTTGGTTTTCACCTACAGTCTTATAAGCTCCTAAGTGTTCCCATCAATGTTACTTCAATTCAGGGGAGCATCTAGAGGAAACTAGATCTCTCCTGAGGGCCAAAGGTCAAGTGGAATGAAAAAAAAGTTGCACAGCTCTAGTAGAAGAGCCACCTCTATTAAAACAGGCCAGATTATACTGCAGAAACACACAGCACACAATATCCCAGTGGTTAAACACAAAAGTTTATTTCTTGTTCCCATAAAGTCCAAAAGTCCCTTATAGGTCTAGGAGACTAATGAGAAGAACTGACCTGCCATGTGAAGAACTCAGCATTCTAAACTAGTTTCATCTCATGGTTCCTGTCTCTGTATGTGCTTCCATGATTTGGGCAAGAAAGGAGAGCACCAGTTTCAGCCCAGAAGTGAGAATTCTGCTCACAACCCAATGACCAAAATGGCTGAGGGCCCTGTCTAACTGCAAGAAGCAGAAAAGCATAACCTTTCTCCTTTTTATTGTTTACTAGAATATAAACTCCATGAGGGTATGAATTTTTTCTTTTGTGCATGCCTATATCCTTGGTCTATAACATTGCCTGGATGCATAAAAGGCCACCATTAACTTAAATAAATCAATGTACTGCCAACAAGAAATCCACATGTACCTTATTGGGAGGAAAGACAGAATCCCAGGGGTCTAAGGCTGAAGGTGTTGGGTAAGAGCTACTCAGACCAAAGCTTCAGTGTTGGCATGCATAAGAAATATTTGGTGTAGTTCGCCTTAGGGAAGAAAATTAACTATCACTGAAGGCGCCAGACCAAGGTTCAGGTGACTTACAACAAAAAATACTGACGCTACAAACCAAATCAGTGTAACCAGTGCTTAGCTCCTAAAAGGAGCTGTAAGAACCACAAATGCATCTGTTCCTTTAAAGTAGTCAGTCTGCCGAACGTATTTGGGGAGCAGGGGAAAGAGAAAGAAGCACACATTGAGCATCTACTGTTGGTAAGGCTGGTACGTGCTTCTCTTTCCTCAATCCCTGTAATCCCCAAATGACCCTGAGGTTAAGTGTTTTCACTATTTCATAGAGAAAATGGAGACTTAAGAGTGTTTTAGTAACCAATCAAGAAACAGAAATGTTTCGCAAGTTAGAAATAGATACAATACAATGTCATCTAGGCTGGCTCTGTAGAAATAAATTCCTAGTAATCCTGCCTTCAGGTCTCACTGATGAAGCTAAGTGACAGCTAAACAGAAGTTTGTGCTTTAATTTTCTCATTTATCAAATAGATTTGAAGAGATAATTTAATCCCTGAAAGCTCTAACAAGAATACATCTGAGTCAAAAGTAGAAATAAAGGGTGAGTTATAAGAATGTCCACAGTCTATAGGTTTTCAGCAGTGTGTCGAACATCACTCAAGACTACTAACTAAATGCTGCTCTGAAGAGAATACAGGCAGACCCTGCCTAATAGTTTACAGTGTAAGACAACCCATATGGATGTGAACTGATTCATTTTTGCCAACCACTCTGCATCAGTTCCCAAAACTGCCCTTTTGGAAATCTGGTTTCCTGCTGAATGGATTCCCTGGTCACCATACACAGCAAACCACAGAATGCTGTCTACAGCACACACTCTACTTCACAGATACATAAGTCTCTCCTGATTCTTAATAACAAAAACTAAATGAAAAAGCAAACAAACAAATTCCTGAGAAGTTAAACCTAGACTCCCATTAAATTTCTTTTAGGCCTCAGGAAAGTGCTAATTTTTATGGCTATTTTATCCTATTGATATTGTGAGGGAAGGAAAGTCATTTCTTTTATTGCAGAAAATTCTTCTTTACATCTAATATATTATTCCATGGCTAAAAATTCCAACATGTTTCCATATAATCTCATTAGAAATGTTTTCTTTTCCAAAAAAAAAAAAAAAAAAACCCACCAATGAAAGGAAAGATAGTGCATTATTAATTATCAGGCAAATTCTCTAGTGGTGAAGTAAACATGATTTCCTTAAAGTAAAATTTGTGCTACTATGACTTAAGAGCTCAAGTTGCTAAAAAGTTCAAGAAAAAACTTACACAATGGCAAGTGACAAGAAAGGGGGAAAATCCAATTTGGTTCTTAGCAAACTTTACATTAGAATTCATTTCTATCTCATGAGACTATTGAAACTGTTAATCTTGCTACCTTAGAGACAATGGTATACAATTAAATGAGCATATTATTGCTTTTTGTTTTGGAAGATGATGCTACAAATGTTTCTGTTGCTTGTGTTTAAGAGTGGCTGGGTAGATCAATGCAAAACCAACACTGTTTACCTCTGTAACCACAGAAGACTGATTCATAGCTTTATCTGCTACTTGAAGCTGAATTTGATATTTTGGCAGGTACAATCCCAAAACAGCTTTTTCCATTTTCAGAATGTTCCTAGAACACTAATCTTGCTAAGGAATTCTCTATAGGTTATAAGTAAAAACAGTAAGTAGTACAGTATGCATTAAGTAGTTTAATGCATCCCCTGCAGAGTCAAATTTGATTCCTTTCTGTGCAACATGGTGCTGATTGCCCCAAATATTCCACTGATAAAAAATTCATGCTTCATAATTTTGTATTTTTCCACAAACTTTAGCATCAAACTCCACTTGGTGAATTTGTTCAGACTGATGACATTGGACAAGTTTCCCCCTTCATTGGTGGAGTTTCTGGTGCCTAAGAAGGCTCGACCGTCTGCTGAAGTTTCTTCTGCATATGTTACAGGAGTAAGGCTGCTCACCTGTGTGGGTTCTCCGATGTTTAATAAGATGGGAGTTCTGACTGAATTTTTTTCCACATTCATGACACGTAAAGGGCTTCTCTCCAGTGTGAGTTCTTTGGTGTGTGTGGAGATTTGTATTTTGACTGAAGCTTTTCCCACACCATGAGCATTTATATGGTTTTATTCCTTGGTGTGTTGTTAAGTGCTTATTACGATCTGAACTCCATCTAAACCTCTTATCACACTGTGGGCATTTATACGGTTTCTCTTCAGTGTGAATTCTTTGGTGCTTAATAAGGTCAGAGCTAACTCTGAAGCTTTTCCCGCATTCCTGGCATTTAAAAGGCTTCTCTGCTGCACGTTCTTTCTTGTGACGATCCATAAGTTTCAGCAGCTCTTGTTTCCAGGTTGAAAGCTTCTTTTTTTTCTTTACTGTTAAATCTTGGTGCCATTTCCCCACTCTGTGCATTTCACCATGATTTTCTTTGACTGTTGTTTTCTGGGGAACTTTTACTCTGGTCTTTTTTGATATGTCTCTGGGTGCTTCTACTTCTAAGCCAGAAAGACAAATAGGCTGATGACTTTCAGTGTCATTTTTGAGCTTTAACCCTGTTGGAATTAATATGACAATGAGCCAACTGAGTAGCAGAATAAGAAAACCACAGCAATGGAGAGAGAAAATCAAAGATCACTGATTTTTTAAAAACAGGTAAGTAGAATCTTAAAAGAAGTTAAATCCTTGGCTCTGGCCAAGTAGCTCTGTGGGTCAGAGCATCATCCTGATACCCCAGGGTTGCAAGTTGGATCTCTGGTCAGGGCACATAAAGGAATCAACCAATGAATGCATAAATAGGTGGATCAACAAATATGTTTCTCTCTTACTCCCCCTACCTCTTCCCCTCTAAAGTCAATAAATAAAAATCTAAAAAAACATTTCTCTAAAAAAATGTTAAGTCCTTGCAAAGGTTCTTATTAAGGCATATTTCTTTTCTTCCCACAGTATATTTACCTATAGGCAGCTCTCCAGGACTTTCCATGAACTCCGTGGATCCTTGAACCCATGGCTCTTTCCCTTGTTCTAGACAGGAGATCACTTTAGGTTTGGGGAGCACAAATAAGGCTGTGAATGGAAAAACTGAGGTCAAAAACTGGTACCCTGCCCTGATTGTGGCTCAGACGGTTGAGTATCATCCAGCAAACCAAAAGTGCTAGTTCGATTCCCAGTCAAGGCACATGCCTGGGTAGAGGGTTCAGGCCCTAGAAGGAGCACATATGAGAGGCAACAGAACAATTTTTCTCTCATTGGTGTTTCTTTCCCTTTCTTTCTCCCTCCCGTAGCCTCTCTCTAAAAAATAAATAAAATCTTAAACAAGACAATCTGGGCCCTGGCTGGTGTGGCTCAGTGGATTAAGTGCCAGCCTACAAACCAAAGGGTTGCTGGTTTGATTCCCAGTCAGGGTATATGCCTGGGTTGCAGGCCAGGTCCCCAGTAGGGGGCATGTGTGGGGCAACCATACACTGATGTTTCTCTCCCTGTCTGTCTCCTTCCCTTCTAAAAAAATAATAAATCTTTAAAAAAAAAAGACAACCTGGTACCTTAACAATGATTCACTAATTCCAAACTATTTTAGTAAGAGTAAAGAACACTTATAATTTGTTATGCCTAAATGGTTAAATGATTAGACATTCATATCAGGTATCAGTTATACTACACTGCATTTTTGGGTGGATATGCAAAGTGGAAATTGACAAATAAACCTAGCGTGATCAATGGAAAGGACATACGTCATGGGAATCTTGTACATGTTCCTCCTCTTCTACCACCAATAAATAACCCCACGCTTGACCAAGTTGAAATAAAACTCCAGAGGTTGCAGGGAATACAGGCTGGTCTTATTAACTCTTTAGGACTCACCCTAAATAAGACCTGGTCTAGCAGAGTCAATGTGAAGGTCAGTGGGTTGGGGATCATATGCACAAGTGTCATAATTATATTTTGCATTTTGCTCTTAAGCACCAGAAACTGAAACAGGAAAAGTTTCTACCACTCCTATAGCTCAGTGGTTCATATGCAGTTGGACAAAACATATCAATATCATTTAGTGACAAATGTTTTAAAAGAAACTAAAGCAGGGTAAAAGAGCATCTAAGATTCTGCTTCTGTGAAGCTAATTTGAGATATGGCTATGTGGAAGGCCTCTTTGAGAAAATAATATTTGAGATCTAAAAGTGGAAGTTTCGCCATATAGCAGAAAAGTATGCTAGGTAGAGAAAAGGAGAAAGTAGGAACGAGCATGGCAAGTTTAAAAAAAACAAGCTCTGGCCGGATACTAGGTAGCTCAATTGCTTAGGGCATCATCCTGATATGCCAAGGCTGTGGGTTCGGTCTCCAGTCAAGGCATACAGTCAATGAATGAATGTACAAATAAGTGGAACAAGAAATTGATGTTTCTCTCTCCCCTCACCTGTGCTTCCTCTCTCTCTTTAAAAAATCAAATAAATAAATAAATAAAACCCAGCAAGAAGACCAGTGTAGCTAAAGAGAACTGAACAAAGGCACAGTGGTACAAGATGAAGACAGAAAGGGGAGGAGACTCCAGATCTTGAAATGTCTTGAGAACCTTGGTAAGGAAAAGTCTATATTTTATTCTCAATGTGGTGAGAAGTCATCATAAGGTTTTGAACCAGGAAAATGTCATAATTTGATCAGGTTTTAACAGACTGGCCGCTGCATAGAAAACAGATCCTATGGGAGGGCAAGAGTGTTGGGAGAAGGAGCCAGTTAAAAAGCTACTAAGGCAGACCTGGTTTGAGGTACCACTGGCCTAGACCAGAATGCTAACAAGGCAAGAAGACGAGACATAGCTGGACTCAGGCTACACTGTGAAGACAGAGCAAAGGTGGAGCCAAGAGAATAGTGATGCATTAGTAGTAGGGTATGACGACAAAATAACGGGAAAGAATAACTATGCTTCTTGGTCTGAGCAACTAAGTCAATAGAACTGTTCTTTACTGAGATGAGAAAGATATGAGAAGGGAAGGTTTGGAGAAAAGAAAGGAAAGAGACCTAGAATTCTACATAGGACAAGAAATGTGTACTTGGATAAAGCTCCCAGGTGACCTGGATACACCTTTCTTCTACAAACGCCATCAAGCTGGGAACCAACCAGCTACTGGAATAGATTCTTTCACAGGGGAGTATTCACATTAAGTCAAGAACATGATAGATTACTCAACTTCTATACAAAGGGAAGGGGAGAATCTTTACCTAGAGAGATGACAGTTTCATAGTTTTCATGCATTACATCATTGTATAAGGCCTTCTGACCAGGATCCAGTAACTCCCATTCTTCCCTTGAAAAATACACGGCCACTTCTTCAAGTGTCAATAAGGTCTAAAGAAAAGAATGCGCTTCAGCTCAGTACTTGCAACTCCAAAAGCAGCTGTAACATTTGGCCCATTAACTGAATAGTAGGCCAGGCACTGAGGAATTAACAGCACATGATGTTTTAAAAGTGAGAAGACAGAAAGGAAGGAGGCAAGGGATCAGTAAACAGCCTGGGAGGTGTTCAGTTCCCCAGGGAGAACATCTGGGCTAACACGCCTGTGAGCACCTGCTGGGCAATGTGGTTCATGGGCAGCAGGGAAATGTAGCCCTAAACAACTGGAAAGCACAGCTCACCTGGGACTCAGGCAAGAAGAGCTCAGACGCCACCGTCCAATCTTTGGTGTTTGTCTGCTCAGGAAAGGCTAGGGTCTGGTGAACAGGCACAGCTGTGGGTGGAAAAGAGCCATCGGAAATTTCTCTTGCATCTATGAACATTTTATGAACATTTCTAAAATATACAAGATCCTGTTTCTTTCAGTAGAGTACTCCTTTACAAGTGTTATATGGTACCTAGAAGTGGCTATCGGTTCTTACAACCAGTTTCCACATTGACTGTCCTCAGTTTTCATGACTGAAGTCAGTAAAAGGAAATCTCATTATTTTTCTTATTATTACATAAATTAATCTGAGGGGGGCAAAAATTAGAGGTATCTGAAAATGCAGTACTCAGAGAGTCCAGTATGCTAGGTAAAGAAAATGGGAAGGTAAAAATAAGCATGGAAAGTTCAAGAGACAGCAAGAAGACTAGTGTGGCTAAACAGGATGGAGTCAGGGCATGAATGGCAGGGAGATGAGTAGGAGTCAGATCTTGGAGGGGCCTACACACCTTGTATGGAGTTTAGATTTTATTCTGAATGTGTGAAAAGTTATTGTAAGGTTTTGAAGCAGAGAAATGTCATTATCTCAACAGATTTTTAAAAGACTCTAACTGCTTCATGGAAAACAGACTGTTGGAGGGCAAGAGTGGTAGCTGGGGCATCAATTGCAAAGCTGGTTAGAGAAGCCACTGGCTTAGCCCAGAATGCTAACACAGCAAGAGAATAAGACATGGTTGGACTCAGGCTATGATGTTAAGGTGGAGCCAAGAGGTCCAGTGATGCATTAGTAGTGGGATATGATGGCAAGATCAGAATAAAGGAAGACCCAGGTTTTTGGCCAGAAGTATTGGGTAAACAGTGATATCATTTATGGAATTGGAAAGATAATTATAAGAGAAGATTTGTAGGGGAGAGTGCAAGGAGAGATCAAGAAATTTAGGATAAGGAATGAACATATGAACTTCAAAAAAGCTCCAGGTAATCTGCATATATCTTCCCCTACCCACACCATCAAGTTGAGAACTAGCTAGCTACTGGAACAGACTTTCACACAGGGGTGCATTTCCAGTAAGCTAATAACATTACAGACTACTCAACTTGTAAGCATAGGGAAGGGAGAATCTTTACCTAAAGAGATGACAGTTTCATAGTTTTCCTTCATTACATCACTGTAGAGAGCCTTCTGACTAGGATCCAGTAACTCCCATTCTTCCCGTGAAAAATATACAGCCACTTCTTCAAATGTCAATAAGCTCTAGAAAAGAGAATGGGCTTCAATACCTGCAACACAGAAGCAGCCCTAGTATCAGGCCCATGAACTGCATTGTAGGCTACACAATGAGGAATTAACAGCACATAATTTTTTCAAAGTGAAAAGGCAGAAAAGGAAGGAGGCAAGAGAGAGATGAGCAAACAGCCTGGGAAGTATTCAGTTCCCCAGAGAGAACATCTAGGCTAACATGCCTGTGAGCACCTGCTGGGCAGTGTGCATGGGTCATAGGCAGCAAGGAAAGGTAGCCCTAAACAGCTTGAAAGCATAGCTCACCTGGGACTCAGGAAAGATGAGCTCAGGCGCCACTGTCCAATGTTTGTTCTTTAACTGCTCAGGAAAATCTAGGATTTGGTGAGCAGGTACAGCTGTGGGTGGAAAAGAGCCATCGAAAATTTCTCTTGCTTCTATGCATATCCTGAGCTCATCTCTAAAATACAGACCTTGATTTGTTCAGTAGATGGGAAACCTTTACAAGTGTGTGTGGGGTGCATAAATGGCCTTATCATTGTTAATAAGATCCAAGTATCTATCTCCTCCCAGAAAAGGTTTCCCAGTTTTCATGAGCAAAGTTAGTAACAATAGGAGATGTATTGTTTATCATTTATTTTTTTCCTAGTATACAACTGTGTTCACATACTACCACTGACAGCCCATTTGTGATCCCAATTCCTTGTGTTTTGAGGATGGGGTAGCCCAAATCCTTTCCACTGTTCTAAGGACCAGAGTTCACGGTGTAATTACCATGGTTCTATGGTTTGGATATTTCTGTACTTTAGGCCAACCCCCACCTTCACCCACAGCTGGTCTATTCTAGGGCCATTTGTATGGCAGGGAAGGGGAATGAAAGGAGGATTATAATTGCTAACATGGCTGTACTTGCATATCCACAGAGCTGAGCACCCAAAAAATGGTCATAATGTTCTGGCTGAACAAATTACTATCACAGGTCCCAGCAGAGATGATCATGAAGCTCCTTACCCCTCTCACACACAGGCTCAGTTTCTTTAAGAGTATTCCTGCTCAGCTGTTGTTGTAGATCCTCATATGCATTCCAAATTTCTTCATCCTGGGACCTGCCCACCGGCTGGGCCTCTGCTGGCTTCAGTTTGAAGCCTGAGGTCTCTGCTGTTTCTCCCAAGAGCACTGCCTCCTTTCCCAGCACATGGACTGCAACCTAGGAATAATTCCCAACCTTGTTACCAGAACTTACTTTAGGCTTGAGGGCTTGTGGCAGTGGAAGGAAAAATATAAGAGTCCATATTATGGGAAGTGGGAGACACTAAAAGAAATCACAAAGAGACTTAAAGAGGTAATAGGCCACCCATTTTCCACAAAGAACCATCCACAAAATCTGGGAAATTTAGGATAAAAGAAAAAAAAGATGTGGATACTGCTAGCCCTTTAACACAGCAGCCTCCACCCATCTGCTTACAGCTTGGCTGTAACCACTAGCAGGATGGTACAGGGCACCTGGTTTCATGTTGCCTTGACAGCCTTTCTTTCTTGCCTAAGACCCTACCTTAGTGGTTTCCTGTCTTCTAGTGTTCTCAAAAGATTGAGAAATTGAATTTAAAAAGTTACTCTGTTAACCAGATTTTTTCTATGGCCAGGAAAGATTTCCACAGAGAAGGGATGAAATGGAGAAGGGACAGGAAGATTCTAGCTCTAACCTCCCTCCACATGATTTTGACACCAAACATATGCCCTGTTCTGTATTCTTTATGGTAGGCCTGCAACCAATTGCCGTGCTGCCACCTGTCCAAGGGCATAACCTGGATACCCATTTACCACCAGAGCTAAGGAACAACCACTAAGGGAGGGCAGGTGAAGGCTCTTGTCTATGGTACAAAGGATACTACCCCTCAGTGTCTTTCTTCTTTCAGCCACTCTTGGGATTTCCAAATCTTCGTTTCCACCTTGTTTTGTTCTCCTTTCTTCCTCTGCAGTATTGCTTAGTTTTTTTGTTTCTCTTTCTCTTTACTATCCTCTCTCTTTTTGTCTCTACATGTTCTCCCTTTTTTGGGTCTGCCCCTTCCTCTCCAACTCCCTATTACTCTTTGTTTCTTTGAACTTAAGACCCATCTCCTAATAGAAAAACATATCTTTCTCAATTGCATTAAAATCATAAAAAACAATAACAACAAAAAACAACACACTCATTTCCCATGCCAAGTCAGACTAGGCTTATTACTCTCAACACATTCTGGCTTCAATGATGGAAAAATGCAACTCTCTAAGACCAGGGAAGTCTTTTTCAGAATCTCCAAAACTTGTGGAATGACTATTGCTGAGGGTCTGTGGTTTCAGGTCCTGCCTTAGATGGCCTAAAGCAACAACAGATCATTAATCCAATTCACCTTATTTCCCAATTAACAGCCCCAACCCCCATATATCCACTTTCATCCTATTTCATTGTATGTATCAGGAATCATTCTTCTCACCCCATTCCTTGTTTGAACAGATTCACTCTGCAAGTGGTCTACCAAGGTCACAGCTTCCTCAATGCTCTGTAGGTGGTGCTTCTTTATCCGGGTCTGGGTGTCCCTGGGCAGAATGGTCAGGAACTGCTCTAGCACCAGCAGATCCAAGATCTGTTCTTTTGAGTGTATGTCTGGCCTTAGCCACTGACGGCATAATTCCTGAAGCTGACCAACAGCCACACGGGGTCCAGCTGCTTCATGATAATGGAAACTCCGGAAGTGTTGGCGAGAGCTCTCAGGACTGAGACTGTCCATTTGTGTGGTATACTTCTTACTCTGAGTGGAGCCCACTGTTACAGGCCCCTTGGTCTCCCATAGAGCCCTGATCTGTGAGTTCAAATATTCAGTCACCTTCAGATCTACTGTCATCATTCTGCCCAGAACAGTTGTTCTTATGTTGGGCCCACCTTTGACAACTGAGGCTCAGTGTGGTCTGGAATAAAATCAATAAAAGGATCTTCTTCCTAAGGCACTGAGGGCAGGAAAAAAAGTGCAGGTCAATAAGAAAGTCACATGAACTTTACTACTTGCTACTCATTATGAGAAAATGAAGAAAAAACATACTGCCTTGCCTTGTCTTTAAAGTCAACTGTCAGGCCCTTTGCTTCTCTCCTTTTCTTTTTATTATTCAGTTGATCTATAGCACAGATCGTTGAAGACAAATGTCAATTAATGACTGCTTCTACGAATCAGGGAAGGTTGGTGGGTGAGAGAATTGGCACCCACTGGCTCCAAAGAGGGGGATTATCCAAAGAGTTCATTCATGTGCTTTCTATCGCATCTTCCCCATCTCAAAGAAGATTAGGAAAACGTTCTAAGTTTCTCTTACATTTTAAAATATCATCCTAGTATTCTGCTTTTAATAAGGGTACAACTTCTATGACTCTTAATCCTCTTGTGATGATGGAAGCCTTCAATTCATGGAACATTTGAAACTTTCCTTTTCTTGTATAAATACTGGAATGAGAGCTGGGACACTGAGAACAGGGTAGAAGGAAAGCAATTAGAGAAAAAAATAGCCTTTTTCTTCTCAGAAAACATCCCACAATTAAGTAACTAGATGCTCAAATTCTTCTTTGGTACTTCTTTGCAAGATGTATAAAGAGAACTACTTAGAATATTTATACCCGTATTTTTAAATTTCTGTTTACTTGACCTAGGAAAAATGACAGCCGACTTTTCTTTACAAAATGCTTGTCCAAATATCAAGTCATAAAAAGGGGGGAGAATGGCAGTTGGTGATGATTAGGGTGACCCTTCTGCTGCCTTTACGTTTCAAGGGTCTTTTAGACTTCTAAGGGAGGCTGAATAGAGACTTTTGAGTCTCACTCTCCTTGATGCAGCAGAACCGGCACTAAGATTCTGTCCAGGATGCCACGTTATTCACAAATGCCGGCTCCTTGCTGCCCACCCTGGCTCAGGAGGCCACGGGGCCTTTTGCATCTGACGCTGAACTGCGGTTCTCTGGAGGTTAACAACAGCCCCAGAAAAGAAAAAAAAAGAAAAAAAAAAACCAACACGCCAGCAGAGGCGGGAACGTGAACATTCCTGAAGGACAATCGGGCTTCATGAGCACTGTGCAAGCGGACAGTGTACGAGCGTGCCCCCGCCGCGGGCCCAGACCTATCTGCGCAAAAGGCGAAAAGACTGGCCTCCAGGGCCTGACGGCCGCCCTCGCCCAAGACAGTCTGCCGCAGGGTCCGGCCGCTCGGCCACGAGATATGACCATCTCGCCTCCAGCCACCTTGCAACGGCCCCTAGCGCGGCCGGCAGCTCTCCGGGCATCCGCAGCCTACGCCGAAGGGGAACTGATTCTTGGTTACCTCAGACAAGCGCTTCACCGACGCCGCTGCCTCTTCCGCTCAACCTCAAGTCGCCCCACTTCCGGCCGTCACTCAAAAGCCGCAGATCTCTGCCTCTCGACGTTCACAAGAGGCCCACAAAACAGAGACGCGCGTGCCCTACAGCGCAGGCCGCAAAGATCCACTGGACGCCTCGGCACCCTGGGGCCTTTTCTACGCTACGGTCTAAACCGCCCCGCCCCCGCGGTCCCACCGGAAGCGGAAGTGCAACACTTCCGGGATGGCTCTGCTCCCCAGCTGTGTTTGCGAGTGCTGCGGCTTCTAGCTCAGCGGAAGGAGCCAGCTTCCTGCCGGATTCTCTCTGGTGCCCAGAAGAGTTAACGCCGGTCTCCCTGCTGCAAATCCTAAAGGCTCTGCGTACGGCTCTGTCTGTGGGTCTCGCCGTCCCGCGGCCTGGTTCTGTGAGGCGTTACGCGTCTCGGTAGCTCCAGAGGCGCCTTCGGCCGGCCAGAGGCCGGCTAATGCGGAGTTCCGCCGCGTAAGGGTTGCCGCCATCTGCGCCCGCAGGAATTTTGGCCTACTGGCACAGCCAGCCGAGCCCGACCTGTAGTCGAGAGGCTCACTGCTGCCTCTCCGGAGGAGGCCTTTTTGTTCCGACAGAATCAAGGGCCCTGAGGGTTCTGTACCCTGTTTTGGGCTGTGCATCTCTAATAATTGTTTTTTCTTGTGAGGTATGTGAAATAGGTTACATTTATAGTTCTTAATGACAGAGAAATTAAGAGCTAAGAAGTGACTTGCCAGTGTCACAATACCATTGGAAGCCCCTAGCCTGGAATTTAGGTGCCCTGCTGTACTTTTTCACTACATGGTTCCTGTAGAAGAACTTTCTTCTCATCTTGTATTTCCTGCAGTGTCTGGCCGAATTACCTGAGTAAGATAGGCATTCCACATATATTTACTGAATCATATTTAAAGGAAAAGGGAGGTCATAAGCTGAACACTGCAGAAATTCCTAAGAATGGAAGTTGATTTTTGGTTGAGGAAAATCATAAAAGACATTGAGGGATTTGTATGCAGATGTAAGAGGGCAAGAGACTAATTAAGGCAGTGATTTTCAACCAGTGTGCTGCAAGAATTTTAAAACATGCGATACGTGAGTAGTCAGGGTCACTGACCTCTTTTCCCTTAGATTGTCAAATTTAAAAAATGAGGGCCAAAACAACAGCTTGTGAGAATGAATCAAAATTGTATCTTTTTGGTTTTGGTCAGATTGGCAAAAAATATCATACATTTCTTGGTGTGCTGCAGAATTTTCATAATTACTTTATGTGTGCCATGCTATGAAAAAGGTTGAAAGTCACTGGGGTAAGGTAAACGCATAGCTTTGAAAAGCTGGAAGGATTAAAGTGTGATATCTTTAGTATTTTTACTAAATGTAATTGGCCTACATTTAGGGAAAGAAAGTTAGAAAATAAATTTGTGTAGATTTATGTGCTTTGAATGGGAGTGAAGAAAATGCATTGTATATATCCAAACATCATTTGAAGGTTTTTGAGGGAGCTTCTTTCCAGGACAGTTCATCTAGAGGTATGTAGGTGGGAATGAAAATGAGAGAGTATATTAACTGGGCCTTTACACTGTTTTTGCTTCTAGGTGGAATCATGTTACAGTCCTCTGAGGGATAGATCTTGAGAGAAAAGGATTAAATAGAGGTGATAATTATAAACATCCGCCTGAGTTGTATGTTTCAAAGCAGGTTGATTTCCTTAGAATCTGTCAGGTTGAGGCTTCATTTCCTTAAAAGTCATTATTGTTTCCAGTATCTCAGAACCAGTGGATATTGATGCTCTTAGCATTCAGATCCTCATCAGCAGGCCCAAAGCTGGGCATATGATTAGATCTTATTGAATTAGTAAGTGAAGTTCTGCTAGCAGTGATTCTGGATATCATTGGCAGGCCTGATTCATAGTATGGGTAGGGAGTTGGTCAGGGAAGATGGGGAGAAGGAAGTGGGAGAAGAGACCCCGTGAAAGAGCGGAAACAAGGCACAAAATGGTTAACAGTGAATGAGAGCCACTGATGATTTTCATTGGTTGAAGTTTAATGCCATAGTTGCTTACTCTTGCTGTGGAGCCCATAAAAGTTCTCTTGAATCTTTTCTTTTGATTTCACCTTGTCCTGCCTGAGCATGGTTTCAGAAATGATAAATGCACAGGTGGGAAGCAATGAAAACAAATACATGGAATTTATTCTGAGATACCATACAACTGCCATAGTAGGTTGAATGTTTTTGCTGGAGTTAATGGTGATACTATTGGCTGACAAACTTTTTTCTCTGTTCCATTTGTAATAGTTGTTACTTGGTATTGCCTTAATTATAGCTGCCTCTTTTACAGGGTTGTTTGATCTTAACATGTCACTACCTCCCCACTGTATTAACTATGATATCCTTTCATGATCTTAGTTGGCACTTCTTGCAACAAATATTACAGGAAAACTAACAGTGTAGTTGGCACTTCTTGCAACACACCAGTTGGCACTTCTTGCAACACACCAGTTGGCACTTCTTGCAACAAATGTTACAGGAAAACTAACAGTGTAGACTCTTCTGGGCTCCTAGATAAGAGGCTTGTGAGAATCCTGTGTAGTTGAGGAATGACTGAAAGCCAGTCAGGATCTTCCCCAGAGGAGAGGGAAAATAACTGAAATACCAAGCATTTTTCTCATTTCTCTGACATACTTTTTTTTTCTTCATAGCACCTGGAATGGGAAAAAAGTGCCAGTTTTTATTACTTCCCATGAGTTTCTATATCTGGAATGAAAACCATGAAGTTAATCTAGAGTAAGACATTTGTAAGAAATAAATGGAATTTGGCGGCACCAGAACCTGAAAGGAATACTTGAGGGAGCTGAGCTCCAGAAGATGTAGCCAACAGAAGGACTGATGGGAAACAATTGACTAGAAATACTACACAGAAACTTTTTAAATTTCGTCAAGCAGTGGAAAAATTGAGCCTTGTTTCAAATTAAACAAAATCTACAATGAAGAGAAACCAAATATAAAAAGTGTGTTATTTAAAACCTTAATGTAAATTTAGGAAAACAAAAGGATTTTTTTTCAATTTTTAGAAACAATTATGGTAAAAATATTTGTAAAACTGTTAGACTCACTTCCAAGAATTGCCATGATTCTGAAACATGCTAATAACCCACATATGGACCAGTTTCAGTGAAAAATAATTCTTGAATACACCACATACACACCATGAAGACCTAAGAGTGGCACTAACAAATTATTTACCTACTTACAAATTACCTTTTTAAATATCAGTCTTTAAGAATGCTATATTGTATGTATTAAAAGTTGGACTTCATTTATATGGACAACAGAAGCTACCAACTTTCTTCACTTAAAGATACAGCTGTTACTGGGTTCTAGCTCTCCAGAAATCCCAATGCCAGGGTAAGTTTGGGGTCTTTATCCAGGTGGGTGGACTGCTGCCCAGTGAACACTACATACAGAGCAATAAGAGTACCATTTTCTTTTCTGGCAGTAAGGTAAAATCAGCTACTTTTGGAAGAGGAGAGGCCTTGGTGCATTTCTGCTACCCAAGATTACTGTCTTTGCCTTTGAGTCTTCCACATTCCCATCTTCTCAAGCACCACTTTTTATTGAGACTTAGCTCATCTGCACTTCATATAAGCACATCCTGCCTCCTCTTGTTCTTTTGTATCTTTTCCTGTGTTGACTTAAAGAGTATGTAGGTATTCCTGTTCTTCCTGACTGGTTCTGCTATATCTGTCAAGGGAGAGGAAGAGCAGGGCATTCTGAAAACTGATCATCTATGTCTTGCAAGAGCAACAACTAGAGAGGACTTTGGCGGTGGCAGCCTTCTGAATTCATAATACTTTCACCTCACTAGACTAACACTTCAATCATAAGCCCTTATCCCTTTTAGCCCATTAACCTTCGGTACAAATGCTTGTGCCTTATAGGGCATTGAGCTAGTTTGGGGGTTTTTTGCTGTGCTTTAAAATATTTTTTCCAGTTCATTAAAGCTTTTTCCTTTTATTCTCCTGTTGGTTGTTTAAAACCAAATTCAGTATGAATAAGAGAGGGAAATATACAATATTGAATTTGGAGGAGAAAATGAAGGTTCTAAGTAGGATTGAAGCTGGACAATCTCATAAAAATGTAATGGATGAAATTGGGATCAGTAAATCAACATTTTATGACATTAAAAATAAAAAATTGATTTTGGACTTTGTACTGAAACAAGACATACCATTCGTTGGGGCTGAGAAGAGAAAGAGGACAACAGGAGCCAAGTATGGTGATGTAGACAATGAAGTCTACATGTGGTATCAACAGAAATGCTCAGCTGGTATCCCTGTTAGAAGTGTGGAGCTTCAAGCTGCTGCAGAGAGATTTGCACAGTGTTTTGGGCGAACAAACTTCAAAGCTAGTACTGGTTGGCTTTTTCGATTTCGAAATAGGCATGCGATTGGGAACCGAAAAGTATGTGTGGAACAAGTCCTAAGTTCAGTTTCAGAAAATGTTGAGCCATTTCGAGAAAAACTGTACATGCTTATCAAAGATGAGAAACTGCTTCTAGCTCAACTATACAGTGGGGATGAGACTGACCTCTTTTGGAAATCAATGTCAAAAAACACTCAGGCAAGTAGAAAAGATCTACCTTCCTGAAAGGAAAATAAACAAAGAACAGTTATCTGCTCTTTTATGTGAAAATGCAGATGGAACTCATAAGTTAAAATCTATCATTATTGCAAAATCAAAGCTGCCCAAAAGTGTGAAAGAGGACACAAGTAGATTACCTGTTATATATAAACCTAGTAAAAATGGGAATTCACGGTTGGTTCACCAGGGAATTGTTTTCAGAATGGTTCTTTCAAAATTTTGTTCCTGAGGTGAGGCATTTTCAACTTAATGTTCTAAGATTCCATGAAGAGGATGTCAGAGCCTTGTTACTCCTAGACAATTCCCCTGTTCACCCTTCTGCTGAATCACTAACTAGTGAGGATGGTCGAATAAAATGCATGTTTTTTCCCCACAACACTTCAACCTTGATTCAACCAATGAATCAAAGTGTGATCTTAAGCTGCAAACAACTTTATATGTGGAAACAACTTGAAAAGAGT